TTTGATTATTTATTTGAATCCAAATGGTAACAAATGGATCGATAGTATTAATAAAACTTTGAGTTATTGCATAAATCGGAGGAGGATTATAATCATTTTAAGAGGCAATGGAATATTCCAAATACTTTGAAAAATCGTAATAAATATTATGTTTATTCGAATAAATAAAATGATTAATTTATTGCTTATGTTATGAATTTTGATGCTCGATACACCTGTCACGTGAGGTACGAAACTTTTATTTTATCCTGGTCGGCATTGGCCGATCAAAATCAATTGCATTTTTGTGCGGCACCTAGGTTCAATGTTAACAGCACCGAATGAACCATGCCGTACCCCAAAGTTCGAGTCGATCTTGTCGATATTTTTTTTCTTCAAAATATATTAAAAGATTAACATGGCCCGAACTTTACGGTAGGGTATCATAATACCCCACCGTAGCAAAGTTCGGGCCATGCTAATCTTTTAATATATGTTTAAGAAAAAAAAATATTGACAAGATCGACTCGAACTTTGGGGAGCCTCTGACATAAATTTCGAGATATTTATCATCGCAAGATCAATACGTATCGATGTTATTGTTAATGCTTTACAATTCGTAATTGGCTAATTGATTTTTAATTCGGGATTGTTATACTTATGTAATAACGAACAAAAGTTAAACAATAACTTACGATGCTAATACGAAAGCGAAAATTACATTTTCAGATAACCGTAATATTAAATTTTGATCAAATTAATAAATTCGATTTATTTTCTAAGAAAATTAACAACATATGATCACTTAATTATGACTTAAATCTAAACATTCTAACATTAGAAAATTCGTATGTAGATGAGATCTTACGTTAGGATTAATTTTAATCTTCAAAAAATCAAATGCACTGTATATACATCACCATAATCTTTAAAGAATAAATACATATTCGCCAGAATTATATAAGTAAATTAAAAAATAAAAAAAATAAAAAAAAAATAAGAATACAACAATGGTTGATCTGGAGTGGGGATCCTTAATTCTGTGATACACAAAAAATGATTACTTTGATGCATCTGCATAAACATTTATGAAGATCGTATCAAAAAACGTAATTTCGAATTTTTTTTTTTGTTCGCACGCGGGTTCTGTGATATGCTACGCATTTTCATAGCTTTAAAGCCAATTTGCCTGCCCAAAAAATTCCCAAAGTTTACTTGATTTGTTAACATCAATTTTCAACATTTTTTGAGCATCGCTTTTTCGAAATGGTAACATTCGGTCTTTATATCTACGCGAAGCAGAAAGTAATATATACTTTGAAGTTAAATATTGTACCGGAGTAAGTCTTAAGAGAGATGCGACAGTAGCTTCGGTTTTATGTAACACATCGTAACGAAGTAAATGAGAAATTTCCAATGGGTTACTTTTCCATTTGACATTAAGAGTAACATTATCCAAGTTATTCATATCAAGATTCAAATCATTAATATTCTTAATTAAGTCTTCCCATTCCAAGTGAGGAGTGGATGAAAGACGAATAGAGTTATTATTATTGTTGTTATTTAATTCTGCAGAACCAAAAGCTTGTTCGGATAAACCGCGATCTATGAGTACTCGTGATAAAGAATTTCCACTATTCTTCAGTTTAATTTTATGCAAACGTTCCGTGGGCAAAGGAGTAGTAGTAGGATCAGGGGTTGTTGGTGGACTTGGTGTTGTAACCTCAGTCGTCGAAGAGGAACTTTCATCTTCAGGTGCTGAAAGTAAATTTGTTATATCCATGGTGAAAGGTCTCGCTTCAGATTTTGAAGCTTTGCCGTCTTTAGATAAATGTTCAGTAGATGATTGTGGAGTCAATATGTGTTTATTTTTGTTACCAAGATTAGTGATTAAAGAACATGAATCATCTTTATTCTCATATTTTTCGTATTCTTCCCCTTCGTCCAGATCCATAAAATCAGAATAACCGTTTATGCGGTAATGATCCTTAGACTTTTTTTTCAATGCATAAGAATATTTTATTTCTTTTCGTTCACGTCTTTTTTTCTGTTGAATTAAAATGATTAATTTTATTACTTGCAATAAGCAGCATAAAAACTAGGGGTCTGCAACCCGGGCTCGTGCCCATGCCCAATAAAAATTTAGTATTTATTAATTAATTGTGCCTGGTACTTTTCCCGGCACTTGTTCCTGGCACCTTTTTGCCTAGCATATTGTGCCGTGCCTATAATAGTACCTGGCATTTGTGCCCATGCCTATAAAAATACCCGGAATTTGTGCCCATACCTATAATAATTTCTGGCACTTTTGAACCTATAAGTATGGGCACGGCATGAGGCACTGGTGCTTGGCATGGTACCAATTTGCCCGGCATGGGTATTTGCAGAGCCCTAATAAAAACAATGGAAAGTATAGCTTACAAGAGCTTTCGACAATATCTTTGATAAATATTTATTATTTCGACTCTTAGTGACTTGAGACTTTTTATCTTTCATTTTGTGTGTATATTTTTTAGTTATTATAAAAAAATAAGTTTCTTTAGATTTTATCTAGATTTTTTTTTAGATCAAGTTGTAAAGATTTAAGGTATTTATAAGATCTCGTTCTTTAACAAAGCTTACACAAAGTTTAGATTTGAATAATCTTAAATAATTTATAAACAACACATAAAGAGACGAAAGGGGTCATGCTTTACATCTGATCTTCGGTAGATTTGTTTAGGAAGTTTGTTTACAGTAAATTTTTTGTTTACGAAAGAATTATATACATATA